TCGCAGCAGTGGAAAGGAAGCTCTGTTAAATGCGACTATAAATAATTTACGCTGGTATATCGTGGCGCAACGTGTTTTTTTTTAACGTTCGGAATAAGTTCATGCGTTATAAATTGCCGCGGGAGAGTTGATAGCGCGGTTTCTCTCTCGGTGACGTCGTGGTCTGCGTTCTATGTTTAGCGACTCCTTTCACGCTCCCTAAGGGGCCCCGGAAGCCCTTAAAGCATCCCTGCCTAGACAGCAAGTAAAGTGAGTACACTTGCGTAGTTGCTGAAGAACGGGTTCCTCGGCTTGAACCACCGGAAAAACCGCAAAGATCGTTGAAACGTTTATGCTGAAGTCTTTCTTTGAAAAACCACAGCTTCAGACGTATTCGTGGTGAAAAAATAAATTGTATTTGTTAGGGCACTTAAAAAAAATTCAATCTTTTAATTATTTCGCCGATAAGAACGACAAAGTTGTTCCGAATACGATCTTTTCATTAGCTTTTACATTTTATCATAATTATATATAATAAATAATTTTAAATATTTCTTATATTATATTTGTAATTATTTCCATAGAAAAATTAAACATAGATAAATAATATAATATACTATTTTATGTGTTACAATATGGTTTATTGACAAATAAAAAATTTGAAATATTCTATATTATTATCTACTTACTATCTAATCGTAATAAATTATAATAAAGTTATTAGTTATATCACATAATTAACGTACAATTGACCTTCTTAAAGCACTTTAGGCACATAAGTAACAACTCTTTAAATATAGCATTTGCGAGTCTCGAAGAAGCCTTCCGTAATAGCAAAGAAATATTTAAAATGCATTTATCGCATACACGTGGAACACATAAGACATTTATTTACAGTTACTTATTGACAGTTAATTGTAAATATTTAAACTTATTGATAATAAAAAGACATACGAAACATTTTATTCGGGTACGCTTTATCGACTGCTTTCAATTTCTGAGAACTCACGTGCGCTCTTTTTGTACAAATGCAGGTTTCTACTGAATTTATATCTTGTAAGGAAAGTATGTCGATTCGCGTTTACACGTAAATGGAAACCACCCTTTTCTTACGATCACTTATGTAGAAAGTAAGCGCAATTGAAAAATTTTTCAATTGACGGGCTAATGTTCTTACGATGTTATGCAATTAATTTATTATTTCATTACATGTAATATTATTTTCTTGATATATTGGGAATATTTTAGGAAATAATAAACGCCATAAAATTGATTACAAACATATATAATAATTATATAATTTTTTTCCTCCTAATGCTTATTTATTTCCTTACGTGGGAATTCTTGAAAGAAAGTGAGAGAATACTGAAAGGGAGTAGGAGAAGCGAACGCGGAAAGGGATATCTCAACATGAGGAAGTAACGGTCTACTGAATTATTTAAGACTTGCCAGAGTAGTCCGCGTGAAACACCGAAGATTCCCTGCATTCACGATACATAATTAGCATGTATCCGTGTGAACACGTGCGTCAGCCTCTGTGTGTACTAATGAATGAATTATGGTTGCAGTCTTACATAGTTTATCAAATTTTTATTTTATAATCAATCTTTATCTTAGATAGATATTATGAAATAATAAGATGGATAAAAATTAATATTGCTGATGAAAGATACGTCTAATATTATCTAAATATTACGAATAATGATTTTGATAAAAGATTTAAAAAATAGATTTAAAAAAATATATTTTATATTTTTAAAAACTTTTTAAACTTTTAATCATATTATTCATGAGTTAATATGTTGAATGATATGTGAAAATCGCGAAATTTGAGAAAACTATTATTTCTTTATCTTTTTCTCATTCTGCATAAATAATTCTGATTCAGACAACTTTTCAATACACTTAAACGCGTACAAAGGGCTGGAAAACATATTGTACATTTCATTCAAATATGTTTTCTCAAGCGTGAAAGCGAATATACATCGTTGTATGAATACAACGAAGATTTATATACATAGTATTTGTTGACTATTCAAAAAACGTTACACTGACAATCCGATGCGACACGTCAGTTCTCATATAGTCTGCCCTTCTATCACTTGTTGTTTGCTGTATCCAGCAAAAATCAAGCTGACACGAATTGTTCATTTTAGTAAGTGGAAAATACGATCCTAAATAAACTACGTGATTTGATTGGATCATTACTGCGACATAAATTCTATTTGCATCTGTAATTTTTCTCTGAAAATCAAAGAATCATCAACAAATCACTTTTGTAATAAATAGATAAAACGAGATTTTTTTTAATTAAATCGACGCAGCTTTACATTATTTCCTTCCGCGTTTTGTTTTCTCTAAAATCTTATGTCAGCTGTTTTCTCTTATAGCCGAATAATTAAGTTACGCGCTTATATGTGTATTTTACACTGCAGATTTTATATAAATAAATATAATATTGACATTATTATACTCAAAACTTCCCTAAGATTTTATTGAAGCAAAAAATGCATAATTTATAGATTAATAAAAATATTTCAAATTTTTTTTAACAAATATAAAAACACATGCACTTTTACTTTTCCCCTAGCGTTCTAACGCTAAAATATTACGGTTACACAGACCGTAATGCTTGAATTGTGGAAATTGATAAATTTTTAAAATGGAAGTTGATTGTAAATAATGCCAATACTTAAGGAAATAATCCCTTCGCTACTTTGAACAATTTATTTATGACAAAAAAATTATGATAATTGTTTTATTTCTCTATATAATTTACCCTCGATATTAGCAAAAAGCTATGGAAAATGTCGCATATAAGCGCAAGAGCAGCAAGGAACTGACTATCGATTTATCGTCAGGCTGTACTTTGAGCGCATGACGATAAAACGTTGCTTCTCGGCAAAACCACCCACAACTGAAGTACGCTATAGTAATTTCACCTTCCCTCACGCTTAGCTGCACAATTTGCATCGTTTCTGCACGCAATATTTTATATAACGATCGTAAACCATCTAACAACAAAATATACACATTCATACTTCTTAAATTAATATCGTGAAGAAATGCAAAGCTGCATAAGTTTACTTTTCTGAATTGTTTGACGGACTTTATACTTTTAATGAGAAATATTTAAATTATTAAGGATTATCTTGGTAATATTAATAAAATTGGCTTTAAAATAGAAAGCGGCATTGTTTCTAAGAACTTTAATTGGTAGATTATTCTCTTGTTCTGCATTTTATAACTTTAATTATACAACTTTACTCTTCTTGTATATTCTTGAAATATTTACCAAATGACGGATTAATTGGCAGTCTCGATATTTATTGTTTTCTGCGTGAAGAGAGAGAATGTTCAATCGTTTTAATTAAATCCATTAATTCGACTCGTATTCGAGTTTGACTTGGCTTTCATCCAGTGTAAATTAGTTAGATTAGTATCTTAATTTATACAAGATAATCTCTCTCTCAACTCCATCGATTTGTTTTCTTTCACTTAACTTTTTTCAAGTGATTTAAATTAATTTTATTGAAAATATTTAGCCATTTATAACTTTCGAGCAATTAACAATTAAAAGCAAAAAAATAAAATTAAACTTTAAAAGCAAAAAAAAATAAATGACAAAATCATATTCTTTAATCAATTTCAAGTGGACTACGATATTTCTCTCTCTTTCTATAGAATTTTAATTTAAAATATACATAATTACAAAAATAATAGTACACTGAAAAAGAATTTGTTAACTTGACTAAATATTTCAAATTACTATTTGGTTAATTAAACATATTAGTATTTAAGTTCAATAAATATATGCATTTTATTTTAATATGTTATATTTAATTTAAATATTTTATATATTTAATGAACAAAATAATATTAATAATATTAAGTTGAAAATTTAGTCGAGTTAACACATTTTTCAGTGTATAAATAAAAAATTTTGGAAAAGAGTGTGATAATGATGATTATCAACATAGATTAAAGAAACTACGGTTAAAAGGCACATCCGGTAGTTGAGTGACACCCTGTAGAACCAATTGCAATCACACAGGATACATATCCGCTCGGTGATCCCGAATAAAAAAGGATCGAATGTAGAGTCGGAAGAGAGGGAAGGGTTAAACTGAGGGAGGGAGATCAGATAACTGACAGAGAAAGCTGAATTTCCGTCACCTCTTGTTCAGACAGCACGGCGCCCCATGCTCTACATCTACAATTAATTACTAACCCACGATGTGATCCGAAATAAGCCGGTCGACACGACCTACTCTCCCAAATTAATGTCGATTTTATTAAACATGATTGATAAAACGAGCGGATCGAAGATAGACATAACCGAAAATACTTGACGCTTTATTTATATCGATTACAATAATTGTTTGAGCTCTCCTCTTTCTGCGAAAACAATATCTATATATTTCTGTTCGTCAAATTAATTGGCTATTTCAAGCCTTTCGAGCACGTACAACAGAATTTTGAATACGTTTTTAGAGAGAAACGTTTTTATTCATGAATACACAAATACACGAAATAATAACAGATTATAATTAACTCTACATTTACATGTCTGCATTTGTAAATGAATTGTCTCATTTGTCAAAATTTATTCAAAATTCATATTGTTACCATAAATCTGCTTCATATTCTTTAAACAAGTGTGCAAGTTTTATAAGTTTTCTTTTACAAATATACAATTGGGAAAAGAATGGAATTTTAAAATGGGGTTTCTCGGACTAAAATACTGTTCACTTGGGACGTTTGTTATACAAAAGGAAATGAGATGATCAATTAACAGTAATATGTAACTCGAGAGAAAAAGAGAATCAAGCTTACACAAGAGTACCTTGAACAGATTAATTCGACCGATATTCGCCTCATACACGTGATTCTGTTATCAATACACGGTTAAATTTAGCCTATTTAGCACAGCAAAAATAAATACGTGAGACATGTTAAATTTTATCCGATATTATCTTGTTCTCAAATATACAAATGAAATATTTTATCGTTATTTTCAGAGCGATCCCAGTACTGCATTTTTGCGGGCAGCTCGCGCTGGGCAACTCGAAAAGGTCTTGGAATATTTGGAATCCGGAGTAGATATCAATGCTTCTAACGCTGTAAGTGTCATCAATCTATCAAACTTCAAAATAAACATTTTTTATAAATTTGTGACTTTAATTTGTCAACTTTTGTATTGCAGTTAATAGAAGAATTTTTGAGCATTTACCGTAAGAGTAAATTATTTTTTAGTTTTTGTTCAAGATAAAAATATAATTTAATTTTTCCACTTATATGTTCGTTTATTGTTTAAGTCACAAATTTCTATTTCATACCATATAGTATAAAATTAAAAACGTCGTAGAAAAAATTAATATTAACACAAATTTTAAAATCTTCTATTTTCCTTCAAAATTTGTCGGTCTAATTTTTAATCACCTGTATATTTATATATTTATATATTTATATTGCAGAATGGCTTGAACGCTTTGCATCTGGCAGCTAAAGACGGCCACTTAGATATCGTGAGAGAACTCCTAAATCGCGGCGCGGTCGTGGATGCCGCTACCAAAAAGGGAAACACGGCATTGCACATAGCTTCTCTCGGTGAGCGAACACATTATTCTCTCATCCTCTACTCATTCTCTCCCTTCTCGCGCATGCCTCCGCGTCTCGTTGCTCATTAAATGCATATGGGACGAGGACGCGAGTGATTTTAAATAAACATTTATTTCTCGGCTTACAAGCTCTCTCGCGGCATAAAATGATATATCCCTCTCTGCGAGATGAATATTATTCGCAATGACATCGATACTCTCTTTTCAGCTGGACAAGAAGAGGTTGTACAATTGTTGGTGCAACGAAATGCCTCGGTCAATGCACAATCACAAAATGGGTTCACGCCGTTGTATATGGCTGCCCAGGAAAACCACGACTCTGTGGTCAAGTACCTTCTCAGCAAGGGTGCGAATCAAACTTTGGCAACCGAGGTATGTGTGAAATGTTACTCTAGCATTTTTTTGGCAATTTTTCATCGTTGTAAAATTTAAAAAATTTTGTATTTTATCATTTATTAAATCTAATCTATGTATCTTAAAACAATATGTGTATTCTTTCTTGTAGGATGGTTTCACACCACTAGCAGTAGCTATGCAACAGGGTCACGACAAGGTAGTGGCTGTTCTATTAGAAAACGACACTCGTGGTAAAGTTCGACTGCCTGCTCTACACATCGCCGCTAAGAAAGACGACTGCAAGGCAGCTGCCCTACTTTTACAAGTAAGTTATTGTAACAATAACTTACCGGACGTAACGTCTTGTGTCAGTCGCGACTATTATTGTTATAATAATAGGTAGAAATTATATATATATATATAATTTTCGCGGCACATATAGCTTCATCCAATTTTCCTTTTATTATAGAACGACCATAATCCCGATGTAACATCGAAAAGCGGATTTACACCGCTTCACATAGCCGCACATTATGGCAACGACCGAATCGCTTCCTTGCTTTACGATAGAGGAGCGGATGTTAATTTCGCAGCAAAGGTATGCGACTTTTGCAGCATAAGAGAAATTGAGTTGTTTGGAGATATTTAAACGCAATATATTTTCTCTCTTTCATTATAGCACAATATCACACCAATGCATGTGGCAGCGAAATGGGGTAAGATTAAAATGGTTAATCTCCTCATGAGCAAGGGAGCAAACATCGAAGCAAAAACGAGAGATGGTTTAACTCCTCTGCACTGTGCGGCCAGATCTGGCCACCACGAGGTAGTTGACATTCTCATCGAGAAGGGGGCTCCTATAGGTTCAAAAACAAAGGTAATGATAACCGAATGCACGTGTCTCGCGAGTGAGAATAAGTCTCTCAACATTTGTCGAAATACAACTTGATTTCTGTTGACAGAACGGTCTTGCCCCGTTGCACATGGCTTCTCAAGGGGATCACGTCGACGCCGCGAGGATTTTGTTGTATCATCGTGCACCCGTGGACGAAGTGACGGTGGACTATTTGACCGCGCTGCATGTAGCTGCACACTGTGGCCACGTACGTGTAGCTAAATTACTTCTCGATAGAAATGCCGATCCAAATGCGCGAGCGCTCAACGGATTCACTCCTCTTCATATCGCGTGTAAGAAGAATCGTATAAAAGTGGTGGAACTTCTCCTGAAGCACAAAGCTAGCATCGAAGCTACGACTGAGGTAAAAAAATGTTCAAGTTTTTCTTTCACTCATATTATTTATTATATTCACTAAATAACAATGTTACGTTTTTTTACAGTCTGGATTAACCCCATTACATGTAGCGAGTTTTATGGGATGCATGAATATCGTAATTTATTTATTACAACATGAAGCCAGTCCCGATATACCGACAGTAAGAGGTGAAACGCCGTTACATTTAGCTGCTAGGGCGAACCAAACTGATATTATTAGGATACTTCTTAGGAATGGCGCCCAAGTCGATGCTAGAGCAAGAGTAAGTACCTTGAGTACAATAATAATAATTAATATGAATAGTTGATTTGTTATTTAGACTTTGCAACACACACTTGAAATGTCGAGAAGAAGAACTTGTTAAAACGATAATCATGATTAAATGTCGCAAAACTTGGAATCTCAGACCAATCGGCTTACTCATCTATTGGTCATCAGCGAAGAATCGTTTAACTTTGTAATTTAATGTTTAACCAACTTTGTATTTTAATATTTAATTTTGTATTTTAATATTTGATTTTTACGTATTGAAAAAGACTGTAGTGCAGTCGAAACGTTTACGCTGTATATTGTTTCTCTAACGGAATGAGAATTTAATTATTTAATTATTAATAAATCTTTAGATCTTATTTAATTGCTCGTTTAGTTGGCCTATAATATTTACCTTTTTTTAAATTTTGTTAATTTATACAAGCTTTTTATTAATTAATTTTAATATGAATAATTTATAGTAATTGAAAAGGAGAATTTATTATTTAATAGGATATATATAAAAACATGTGATATTTATTTATAGGAGGAACAAACACCGCTTCATGTTGCTTCCCGCTTAGGTAACGTCGATATTGTGATGTTACTGCTACAGCACGGCGCGGGCGTAGATGCCACAACGAAGGATTTATATACTCCGCTTCATATCGCTGCTAAAGAAGGCCAAGAGGAGGTAAAATTATAAAATATTTTATATAATTATAAATATTATATATATATATATATATATCCTATAATAATAAAATATTTTATATATTTTATAACATGTTTTCTATATTATTATATAGGTTGCATCCGTTTTATTAGAAAATAGTGCATCGCTTACTGCAACGACCAAGAAAGGATTCACTCCTTTGCATTTAGCGGCCAAATATGGCAATATGAATGTAGCTCGACTCTTATTACAGAAAAACGCACCTGTTGACGCTCAGGGAAAAGTATGTATCTTTTTTTATAAATTTAGCATTTAAAATAAAATGTAATTAATATAAAAATATCACGCGTTACACATGCTTAATAACATTTTATAACTCTTTAATAAATATATTTTTAATTGCAGAATGGAGTAACGCCTCTTCATGTAGCGTCTCATTACGATCATCAGAACGTAGCTTTACTTTTACTCGATAAAGGAGCATCTCCTCATGCTATGGCTAAGAATGGCCATACACCTTTGCATATCGCTGCACGCAAAAATCAGGTCTATTTATAATTTTGGTTATTAACTAATAATTGTAATAGAAATGACATGCAAAATTGTTTGTTTACGATAGATGGACATTGCAACCACTTTGCTGGAATATGGAGCAAAAGCTAATGCAGAATCAAAGGCTGGTTTCACACCGTTACATTTAAGTGCACAAGAAGGCCATACTGATATGTCAACCCTTCTTATCGAGCATAAAGCAGATACAAATCACAAAGCAAAGGTGGGTAAAAAAAAGCCTGATATATTTTTTAACTAATCTTTATTTATAAAAAGCCTTATGATTTATTTATACTTTTTACAGAATGGCCTTACACCTCTACATTTATGCGCACAAGAAGATAAAGTAAACGTCGCCTCTATTCTCGTGAAAAATGGCGCTCAGATCGACGCTAAAACTAAGGTAATATAATCGATAACCTTTTCTTTAATCCACATATACGTTACTTGCGAATGCGCATTATGATTGTAATAATGTCAACGATTACGATTGTATCTCGAGTTACATTATTAACACTTTATACATAATTAAATTATCACAGACGATATAATCTTTTACTGGTGACTGTGTTCTACTGTTCTATATATTCATTGATAACACAACTTTGAAATAGCATCTACCTACATATCATAATGCAGTAATATGACGGCTGTTGGTCTTAACGCATTGATGAAAAAAATAAGATGCATTAAATTAGATAGTAAAAGAATTCATAAAGTTTTTAAACTCACTTTTTCATTGTTGTATTACAAGAGCGAAATTTTATATTTTTATTTATTTTATATAGTTACTGATTAATTACTGAAAGAGTAATGGCAAGAAGACCTGTTTTTTCGCCCATTTTATAGAGTCGAATTTTTAGATATCAAATTCAAACTTTTTTTTATGTCAAATAGTACTATATGATGAGACATTAATCCCAGAAAAATTTCAAAATGAGCATAGGCACAGTTCCGGAGATATAAAGAAGAGAAAGTGATAGTTTCTATACACTCTGACTGGAAATCATTACTTTCATCCCCTTGTATCTCGGGAACCGTGACTGTGCTCATCTTGAAATTTTACTAGGATTAATGTTTCATTTAATAATACTATTTGCCATGAAAAAATTTGAAATTCAAGGTCCCAAAAATGGGCGAAATTGGCCATCACTCTTTTATATTTTTATTTATTTTATATATTTACTGATTAATTATATATTTTTTAGGCTGGATATACACCATTGCATGTGGCATCTCATTTTGGTCAGGCAGCCATGGTACGATTTCTTCTGAGATCTGGTGCTGCTGTTGACAGTAGCACCAATGCTGGCTATACGCCTCTCCATCAAGCTGCGCAACAAGGACATACACTTGTCATTAATCTGTTGTTGGAGAGTAAAGCTAAACCGAACGCTGTAACTAACGTAAGTTTTATTCTATCGACTTTTAAAATTCTATATTGAATGCTAGAGTATTATAATGACACATTTGATGTGAAATATCTTTTACAGAATGGACAGACTGCTCTAGATATTGCACAAAAACTCGGCTATATAAGCGTCATTGAAACATTAAAGGTTGTCACAGAGACTATCATCACAACAACTCATACCGTTACCATTGAAGAGAAATACAGAGTTCAAGCACCCGAATCTATGCAAGAAACATTTATGAGCGACAGCGAAGACGAAGGGGGTGAGTACTTATATTTGATTTCATAGAAACATTTATTATTCTTTTCTATATTGCTGCTTATTATGTCTATTTGCTGCTAATTTATTGAGAAAGAGAGATTTGCGATATTGGAATGAAATAAGCTATCATTAAAAAATGCAAGTGATATCGATTGCTGTGTTGCTACTACTGCGAATACAACTTGTTTCTGATATCGCAATAATATTCGTAAACATATATTTTTACAGCTTTATATAATTATTTTGCTTTACATGTTAAGCGTTCTAATAACGCAGGAATAATATATACATATAAAAGAAACTGAAAACTCAGCAGTACGACAATTCTTTCGCTTTAGCTAACGTGCACAAACAACAATTTCTTTTAATTATTTAAGATGAAACTATTTCCTTCCTGCACATAAATTTTACGTTATCGCAGCGAATTATCGCGATATATAGATGAAATAGGATAGATTTCAAAATAAAGAGACAAAGCTTTTCGTAGATACAACAATTGCACGCTAGGATTAAGCAGAATTGATAATGAATTATTGCATGGAAGAAAATTATAAAAACATAAAACAAAAGTAGAATTACAAATATAACTATATATAATAGGTAGATAGACATACAATTTGCGTCCTCTAATCACACATACATGAAGATTAGATAGAAATGTTAAATTAGTAGAATAGAAACAAATGTACTCTCGCATGTTCGCGTGATGCATGATACCAATACTATATTAGCATGTGAAACACTTTTTTGATAGGAACTCGTATCCCTTCCCGATCCACATTTCACAGCGATATTAAACTACATGAAATAACAGGAATAAATGACGACAAACGCGAATCTTTAATTAGTTCTATCAAAGGTCTAGGTTCTTAGTTTTATCTCTGTTAAAGCTCCAAAGTAAATATCAAAATGCTAAATGGAATTATTATTTGCTTGATTGTTGCATTACCTTCATTTTGCAAAAGCATGCATTTAGCAAATACTCACTGGGTTGTTGTATATTAAATTTTTTTTTAAATTCGTAAAATATTAACAATGCAAAATTTGAAGCTATTATTTCTAACAAAAGCAGAGAATTAGGCACAACTTAACATTATTAATATTTTAATAATAATAAATTTTACATCTTTAGATGTCAAATTAAAAAATTTCTGCTAATTTTTGTATAATACATGTATCTAAATAACTCGTAGATTTAGCGATTTTTTATTAAACTTTATTTTAGCATGGCAATTAATTTTCAACAATATATACATTAAAATAAACCCCCACTTTTATCTTAAAATTATCTATATAATAGTCAAGTCGACGCGTAGAAAAGTGTATCAAAACAGAGGCGTAGTCGATGCCGGTTTGTAATTTAGCGATATTCATTTGCTTGTTTAAAAAATTAGAATTACATGGGTATCTCGTTTTCTCGATTCCGCGCAGTTCAGCATCGGCGTCGCGATTTAGCATTTTTTTAACAACCCAGTGATAGTCAGAGCGAAATTTAGAAAAAGTATACAGTGTATATGATGCGAAATTAGCGTTCTGATGACACCATGACCTTATCTCGACGGCGTGTGTACGATGTATGTAGGTGGTGATGAAATCGGCACCGCAGCCATGAATGTGTACGGACAGCCTCCGCACGCGCAACACGTGTACCTTCCCTCTTACTACCAGGGCCAAATGACCTATACCCGTAAGTTGTCTGTACTCTGTTTCTCACTCTGTCTCTATCTCTCTTTCTCTTTCTTTCTCTCACGTGTTTAACGCGAAAAGACCACTGTGTATGGCAAATACCTATACATACATACATCATGTAGCACTTTTGCGACAACGTAATAGACGTTAGATAATACATGTGATTGGCATCCTCTTCTCAGGAGATGTCATAGCTGCTTCGTTATTTCTGACGATTATAGCATCGTGACATAGCAGTGTCATATAACGTAGTAGAAAATAGTGTTTATCGTTATTATTTCGTTGACAAATTTTATACATATTCGCATTTCTTGTAAAAAAGTGATAATCATGCTCCATTCATTCATGTATGTTTCATGTAGATTTACATTTCGATCTATTTGAATTTTCATATATATACATCAGATTTGCATATAGAGACACGCACAGACACAACCATCCCTCGCCCGCTATTTCTATCATATTTATTTTTTCATTCGTCTTCCTACTGTCCTCTCCAAGAATTTTTTTTTTCGATCACAGCAGTACACATTTAATTATATCGATCTACGTAGCAAGAGTTGTCTAGAAATCATACTATAATTTTTAATTGATATCTCTTCATATAAAATTAAAAACTTTCTGTTGATAGGAAAAGGCGCCGTTTAAATTGATATAATAATCGCATTTAATTATTTTAAATAAATAAAGGCCTAAAATAATTTTTTTAAATCTACACGCAAATGTGCCTATCGCACAATACTATATTTATTGCATACGTTAGGATTTTTTTAAACAAATGGGTTTAAAGATAAACGATTTCTTTAACTAGCAGGATATTATCTATGCGATCATTAGAATACTTTACGATTACATACATATTTATCATGTCGTCTTCTTGGCGCGATCAACGCCAGTTTACTTATAAAAAGCAACGTGCGTATCACTGATATCATTATCATTATCCAACATTTTTTTCGTTACTTATAGCTCTATTCAGCAAAAAAGTAGAATATACGAAGTAAATAAAGCAAATGCTTAAAAAAATGGAGATTAACGAAGCATTTGCTCGTGAATAAGAAATTATAGAACGTAAGATGATCTAAGTAATAAAAAGTTGAGGATTTTACACAGAGATGACATTTACAAGCAAACACTTTAGAGTAACGAGGCGAATTTATTTTAGTAAGAGTATAGGAAATGATTTCTTTACTACACACTTCAACTTCAAGAAATCAACAAATCTTTGCTTTTTCATACACGATCCAATAAACTATAAATTCTTGGACATTTTTTTCACATGAATCACGTGAAAACACATGAATGCACCGAATTGTTGCAACTTTCGCTTGCGATGACGATCTGAAAAATAGGCGCAGGAGAATTGAACGCCACGGGAGAGAAAGATCTCGTTCCCGTTGCATCGATGCAACTTTATATGCGTTACAGCAGCGTTGAAATAGGGCGTGCTTCTACCGCTGTTAATGCAATTTACATAATAACGAGCTGCGCGATCATTATTATACCAGCCGACCGGCGCGCTTCGTCGTCATCGTCGTCATCATAGCTGTATCCATTACATATACCGCCCTCCACTTCGGCTACCTGTTATGCAACCAGCCAGCGTGTGCGTATCGTGCCGCGTTATTAGTGCAGTTAGTTCAACCCTTGGCGTGCCGCCAAATACACACGATGCCGGACCGAAATAATCTGAAATTTATATAACGCTACACGCGCGCAGCGGCTGTCGATTAAAAGAGAAACAGAAAGAAGATAAAGTGTGCAATTAGAAACGCAAACGCACTCACATTTTCGTATAAACAAACTTTTGGTGTAAACATTCCAGTGTACTTTAAATAGAACTCGGTCGTAATTCACGTCATGAAGAATTTCTTAAATAAAATTAATTAATTATCCTCCTGTCAAATTCTTTTTGTCGAATCATGAATTATTTGAGTTAGGAAATTCATTTTATTATCTGCAATTGTTATAATGGAATAAATAATTTATTATATTACAAAATTATTGAAATAAAAGGTAGAACCGTGATGAAGAATTTGATCGATTTCGCGCTCGCGACAAGTTTTTCAATATAAACTTTGACCTGAGCGAAACATCTTCGTGACATCTACATTACAAATTGACTTTTATCTCTCCTACGATTTCGTCACGCAAATAAATCGCCGATCAAATATCCTCGCGTGTTTTTTCGTCGTTTCTCTCGTTCGGCGCGACGAAAAAAAGAACCGCCAGCGGATGATGGTCGGGCGGTAAATAAAGTAGTAGGAAAAGCTTTGAAAAGCGGTTACTATTATAAAATTGGTGATTCACGGAATGAGGTCACGTTCCTAGCGAGCTAGTTCTCTTCTAGTGCCGGTCGAACTTGTATTAATCTTCTCGAGAGCAGTCGCTGTTCCTGACCCCGCATCGATCGCCGCTCTGCCGAGCGTGCGAGCGAAAATAAAGGAAGTATTCAGCATATTCAGAGCGCGCGTGCTTAATGCAATTAAATGAATTGAATCTAATAGGGTGAAGTACTTGGTCGCCGCTCGCCCTATCAGCCGGGAGCTAGTGCGATGTTCAGACTAAGGGACCTATTCGATAAGCCGTTTGTACGAAATAGCGAAGGAACGAGTTGATGAAAGGCGAATCAAGTTTCCTGGAAAAAAAGGAGTTAGCACACATTGTTGCTCTCCAAATTGCTTCTATAATCGATCGAAACTACGACTGCTGATACTTCCATTCGGTCCATACCACCTGCATATCGAGTGCACGAGTTGCATACAAAGTTCCGGACGGCCTATCGGATACAGCATAGCGATAGTGCATCAGTGCGTTAACGACGCTCGAGGATACGGAACGTTTCCTCTAGAAGAGAGAGAGCACTGAGCGAATTTTGCACTGTTGCACGTCGTTTCGTTTCGCGCATTCATTTGTCGAAAGAGAGAGAGAAAGGAAAACGTATCGTAATAAACATGGCCAAGGGAAGAGCGAAGAAAAAAGGATTCACTTGCAGCTGTTCGTGCGGGTGTGGCAGCAGGAACAGCGACGTATTATGTAAATATCGTGCATCTGTTGTGCTATACACCGCATCGCTTATGCTACTGCAATCGTTGGATGCGACCCTCTCGATCTAATCATTCGAGCGAGCGAGCGGAAATTATGCCGCGAATTTTATTTTATTTTATTTTTTTTTTCCTTCAACCGCTTGATGTAAAACGCCGCTACTTTCTTAGATAACTAGACATCATCGTGAATAACTTCCTTTTGTAGTGAATATTACTCATTGTTGGAGTTAATTGAGTTCCATTCAGGACAGAATTTTTCCATTAT